GCCTTCCAGAATTTAAATGGAGTGATCTAGGGGAACAGGATGTGGTTGGACAAGGATTGTTCGTAGCGGTTTTTGGGACAAAGTATCCTTAAGACCTAGACAAGAATTCAGGCGAGTCAGTTGTTGTAAAGAAATTGCTTGGTTCGTCTTTACAATTTATCAATGCATTCACTGAAGCTCGTTTACTGCATGATCTCAATCACGGCAATATAGTACAATTTAAGCTGTTTGTCAAGAGCCAGTCGCAGTTATGCTGAATATCTTTACCTTGACCTAAGCGTTTCGGAGGAGAGGGAAAGGTCTGTTTATTACAGTTGCACTGTAAAGACTCAGTGAAACAGGCCACCTTCCGTGTCAGGCAAGGCACGAATTTTTGCGAAAGTAAATTTTTTCACTGCCCGCAGTAAAAAGTTAAAGAACAATTTTGGAGCAAAAAAATCAGTTTAATGAAACTCAAAAAACAAAAGGAAAATCTGGATGATGTCACTTTGACGATTAGCGTGCAAACTCGATATTAAAATTCAGGTAATGAATTAAACCACATTCCTGCTAACGTCCTTTAAAGGAAAATGAATTACAGGGGAATTTGGAAATTGATCATTTTTCCCCAAAAATTCATACTCTGAAATCCTTTGCTCCCATCTTAAAAGCAGCACTGATACATGCTAAATTGGTTCACGTAAATATTTTTGAAAATCATAGAAATACTACTAATTTATTTGTAAAACTTTACTTTAAATATCTAAATGTTAAAAATGAATCTACCCTCTTGGTCAATTGAGCCACGAAATAGAAAGAATTTCTCAGAGTTTTCCGAAGTTAGGGTTATAGTTCGCCTACTTTTTGGTTAGGGGACACAACGGAGGAAAGCCAAAACAAATGTAACTCCATCATCTACTTTTATATCCCCCACCATGTCTTTTGTTTTGTTAAAGTGTTTGTTGATATTCTATGTTTGTTCTCATAGAAATCACACGGAGTTTTGCTAACGAGTCTAACATTAATTCACTAAAGCACTAAAAAAATGTGCAAAGCGTCCATTTTAAAGACAGTGCTGACAAACTGCAATTTCGTTGATTTTATAGTTTTTGGTTCTCTTCATTCACTGGTGTTTGTTTCACTATTAAGTTAGCATTATCGTTTTCAGTTGCCACGACATACCACCATGTCATGTGTATCTTTTAGTCTTTTCGGAGAATAAACCAAGCGCTTCGCTTGAAGCGAGCCGCATCCAAGGGTTGTGTGTTTTCTTGTTGAGTTAAACTGAGATGTAGAGGAGAGAGGTAATGTCATGAAACATATTAATCATTGTGAATAATGTGTATAAAGAGTTTAGTTTATGATTAATTTGTTACACAATTCTCACTTTATATTGATTATACACTACAAGTCTTGTCAACTTATAATGTCGGACTGAAGGAATAAGAAATATATAGTATTAACAAATATAAACATACTATTAATTCGTTTAGATCCAAAAGATAAATAAGTGTGTTTGTGGATCAAGTAGCTGTTAAAGGTGAACACTGTGATGAACGATTCATATTGAAAAGCGAACAGAATGAAATTTCAAAAATACGTTCTTTTAGTATATCATCTCTGCCCATTTAGAGATAAATGAACAAACAAATGTTTTCCAAAATTAATCCTTTAAAATAGGTGAGCGTCTTGTATGTATGACCTCTGTGGGACAAGCATTTGATGGGGCACATAACAGAATTCTAGCTTTGTCTGCTAGAGCTTCACTTCAAGAATACTACCTCCATCCTGTAGGAAGGTATCAATTGCAATGTCTTGAATCGCTTTTGAAACTGCTCGACTTTTCTGATCTACATCGTTTCTCGTTGGACCACAGCTTCAAGTAAAGACTCATCAATTTTCTCAAATCCATCTGATTTCAAAGCCCTTTAGGTCTGCCTGTCGATTACTTTCCCACATCGATCAATCAGGTTCTTCTCTTCGTATTTATGAGCAGTCGGATTTGTTGTCCATCCACTAGCTGTGAAGTCTGCTCGGTGTTCCAACTTTAACAGAACACTTTCTATATAAGCAGCCTGCAGACCAAAAATGAACGCCCGATCAAGTTGCTGTGCTGTGCTTCGCTGTTGGAAATGGAGAAATGTACCGCTTAGCAAAACAGTCGAGCACCCTGACTGTCGAGCAGGCCAAGCAGCAGAAGAAGGAGGTGCAAAGTCTGGATAAGTGAACAGGAATTTCTCAAAAATTCTCTACGCAGACTATCCAATTTGATTCTCAAAAGTGGCCATTTTCCTGGCAATTGATGTGAAGGAATAACCCCGATTTATAAATGTGGGAACAAAATATTACAGTACGGAGAAATGTGTATCAGTAGTTGTGTGGGTAAAATTTTTACAACTGGTTGCTTAGCGAATCGCTAACCCTAACCGATCTTACATGTATATTTAACACTACGAACTCTCCTGACGGGAGAAAGGTAGAGAAACCACAAAACTGGGCAATGCATCATTTTAGATTGCCT